ACTTTGATAGGAGTTTTTGTCCCAGCAGTGCAGGTAATGCATGGAATGTTCTAAAGGCAATTCAATTCTGACACACCCAAACTCTTGCACGTGATCTGCTTGTGAAAAAGGAAGATAAATGTTAAATGAAGATCCTTCCAGTGTAAAGGTGATGTTGATTCTTTCTTCATTGATGAGGACTCAGGAATAGATCTGCTTCCTATCAACAGAATAAGTCACAGAATTAGATGTCAATACTGAGTGTGTTCACTACATAATCACCCTTTGCCTACAGGTATCTTTACCTCTCACAACATACAGGTATGCAGGTTTTAAGGTGTGACTTACAGGCATTGTCAGGTGTGTCATCATACCTGCTCACAGTACCAATCACTGGATTGCCTGGTCCAGGTTCAGTTATTTAAGAAGGCATTTAAGTGACTTACACTGAGAGTGGGTTTTAATCCCCAAAGGGACTCAATCCCCAAAAGTCTAGAATCTGTATTTTACTACAAAAATGTGATCCCAAATGTAACACATGTTGCTGATTGTTGCTTTAAACAACAAACATACCTATGCTGCATACACAAAATGTCCAAAAGCATTCATGCTGGTTAAAATATTTGTGTCCCCATTATCTATCGACATTTATTACAAAGGAAGTAAGCCTGCCACCTCAGAAAATGCCCCAAATATGAACATTTTGATGTTTTGTTGTGATATCTAATTCATATTCTCACAATAATATTGTTTACTGCTGACAGTATAAACATGGAAAAAAACATAACCTTTCTTAAAGTAAAATTTATTAAAGAAATGTTCCATACTCTTGGTCATGTTTATAGTGTAGCCCTTGGGTCTATCAAAAAGTGGGACCCCCGTGATATTGGTGGAAAATTGCTAAAAGCGGCGTAAAACCAAACTCAGTCAGTCAGTCAAAAAGTGGGAAGAGTGGTTTCTTTCTCTTTTAATAATGAAGTTGTTTTTTGCGATCTGGGAAGTGGGTTTATATTAACCAAGAGAGTGAAATCATTGAAAATGTGGTGCTTGATGATTATGCTATGTCTGTGTCCATGTCTGTGTTATCATTGTCCGACTGCTGATACCGAACGAGGCAGACTCTATTCAGATGCTTCGGCTGAGTTGTTTCATTGTGCAATGTGTAATGTTTTAATGTTGTTGTGGTGTGACATGAATACTGACATATTCCATCCCACCTGTTGCATTTGGTTATAACAAGCACCTGCTCTGAATTCTGTCTACCATACTCGGGACGTGGGATGCTGGGCTGGCTGGTGGTTGAACCATTTGTCGTGAAGCTTGTTTTTATTCCCCACAGATGTACAATTTATGAAAACAGTGTGCTCATTTCTGGTGTTCCCATCATTATGTTATTTGAATATTATAAACAGCAACATTTACTTAAGAACCAGGCTAGCTATTCTCGAACCATTCGTAGCCCTACGAACTTCTTAAGCCCATTTTTAATACACTGGCTGCAATCAAAGTTAGGAATTCTTAGGGCTACGAACGTTTCAAGAATAAGGGCACAGACCCATACAAGAGGTTGTTCCTTATTTAAGAAGTAGAAGAAGTAGCCAAGATTGTCGCTTCATCTCTGAAAATATATAAATTCTAAAGAAGCATAACTGTTTTGAAATGGGGAAGGATCTCCATTAAGGTGTGAAATTCCAACCTGAGCTTGAGGAAAATTTAGACTCTCTTCATTCAGGCATTTTGCCTGACAGATGTTGGTGTTGGTCAGAAGGGAATATAATATGGTTTAGGGATTTTGAGACAGACTACCCTTATCCCTATTGTAATTATTGTGTTGGGACTTTGAACAGGGACAGTTTGTTTAAGTAAACTGATTTAAATGCAAATTTAATGGGGCGAAATCATTTATAGTAATGGAGCCAGTTCTCAGTAGAATGGCTATTACCCCAAAATCTGACCCTTGATATAACACACATGGTGTACTCATGTAGACTGGGCTACAGCAATTCCACAGTGTTTCAAAGGGCCGGTCTGAAGGGTCACTGAACCCTCACAAACACAACTGGCCGAAGTCGGGGTCGCTGAACCCACACACAAACACACCTGACCCTTCCTTTCTGATTGAGATGGACCCCTGGGCCCACATTTCTGAAGCAGGGAATCAAGTTGTTTTCATACTTAGTGGTGACCTTGGTTATTATACTGCTCAAAAGATGTTCAGGATCACTCGGTTCAGTCTTATTTGTATTGTGAATCCGTCATGCAGAAAGAAATTAAGGACCTAGATTTTTTCATATTACTATGGCTACTCAGTCAGGCCATGACAGTGTAACTATAGCAACGTGAAAGCACTGAATGGTCCTTAATTTCCTTTGAGCAGTATACATATTTCAATCAGTTTGAAGTTCTTGAGCAGTGAGTCTGGAATTTGTTTTGGATTTTGTTACCAATCAATCAGTTCTTGGTTGTCGTAAATTTGTGCAATCCATTTATCATAATAAAATGGAGATCAAGTACTTTGCATAACCAATATTGTGATTATACTGAAAAATGTTAATTTCAAACCCTGCAAGTGGACATAAAATTAGACAAATTAGGTGAGAAGTAGAAATGCAATATGGGTGATAAAGTTAATATTCAACCGTTTGAGAAAACCAAGGTGAATTTTTCAAGGATCTGGGTGGCACAGTGGTGTAAAATTAAAACTGGCTGCTGGTCAATGTTTGATTCCCAGATTATGACACTTTGTTTGTCGGCACAGTATCAGCCATTGCCCTGTCTTGAAACTTTATTCTCTCTCTTGAGTTAGGTCTGTTAACACACACCCCCCTGTGCAAGTAAGGTTAAATATGACTACGCAAGTAAGCGTAAAAGATGCTCTTCTTTTTTTCAAATCTACACATACCATGTTAGAACCCAAGTCAATATAACAGGGTTTATAGCTTGACATGAGATAAGAAGGTTGATGTGTAAATACATGAAGAAATATGTGACCTAAAGTTACAGTATGACCTATTTTATAGTTTATTGCTTCAAGTATCGGTTATAAATGTGAAATTGTTCTCTTTAAATGTTTATGTTTTTCAGTCGTTAAATGATTCTGCAATTCATATTGTTAGCTTGAAGAATCCTTCACTTGTATCCTCTGATATTAAGTGAGCAATTTTGTTAGTCTAACAAATTTTTAATTTATCAAATTAGAAATTAAACTATTTCCATATCAATAATCAATTAATGCTGCTTGGAGTAACTGAAGACTTTGACAAATAATCAATGGATCTGATTTTTATTGTGCCTTCACCATAAACTGAGTCATCTCTTCTCATGTACAAGTCCTTAAGGTCCCAGTCTTCTGGGGCAGCAGAATTTTCTGTACAGAGTTGTGTCCCTTAGATGTGCCAGAATAATATCATGTGTTAAGAAATACAGTGTGCTCTACCACCATAGTTAAAGCACGAGGACACTTGAATCTGAGTGCTTTAACGTTATAATAGTTCAGGGCGAAAGTGTGCTTTATTACACTATACATGGTGGTAAAGCCTAAGATGCCATATTTAATACTTTCTAAGGATAATTACGATTAATCTAAGGCAGAAAACAAACAACGGTGTCGGTGACCTTAATTAAGAATCCTTGCACAGGGCTAACTGGCTCGCTGTTCTATTGATGTGTCTGCCCCCCTACGTTAAGACGAACGTTACCAGAAAAAAAACAAATGATAAACAGTTTGATGACGGTTTACGTTCAGATTAAATATCTTTTCTAAATTATTTTAATTGCATCTGTGATTAATGTAAACCATATGGGGCAATATGAACGTCGCATTTCTACGACCAATGTAAGTTTAGATCAGTACATCCAGATGGCACTGCGAACGTTACCGTGTCGCTGAAAACTTGTCGAATTGAGACATTTTAACCATCGGAAAACAAACATAATGAATCCACCAGTGATGTTAGCCGAGTGAAACAACTGCAAACCAAGAAACGGGATTGCAACGGAGTAGTTTACTGTAGTAGGCTGTACGAGGCGATGACAACTGACATGCATCGTGACGTCGGTTACATTGTGACGTAATGCAAAAGTGTTCGATTACGAGGGGGCAGACTAGAATGCCGCAGTGCCGCCAATACATTGTGATGTAATGCAAAAAGTGTGCATCATCGTCTGATAAAGTATTGTCGGTGCCTTTCACTGAAGCATCTTAGAAATATGCTTATTGGTTTTACCATAGTTACTCTCCTCCCGTGTCAATCTGACAGTGTTATAACCAAGAAACAAACTCACTCTCTCACTCATCTCATCTCTGAGGTAAGCTTGAGCTTAACTGATCAAAGCATGATTTGAAACCCATTACCATGTAATGTTGAAACCAGTAGGTGTGAATATTTTATCACATGATCGCATTGCTTTTTGCCTGTTCTTCCACTGTGTTGAACCATTGATTCCTGATAATGGTATGTCATACTTACTTGGGCATCAGAGATGCAGCTGACAAATTACAACCCTCAGTGACAATGATTGTGTAGATGATGTTGAGTTTACTGTGTTGATTAAGGTGATGTGTGTCGAAAACACCTGAAGGTCATCAACATTTTCCATGAAGGTCATTCGAAAACTAACTTTGATCGTAGCCAATGTGTTAAGAATGGGCTTAAGAAGTTTGTTCCATGTCGAGAATAGCAGCCTGCTTCTTTAATTTAGTAACCCGTGAAGGTCCAGGTTAGAATATTGATATTATTTACAGACCGCCGCCATATAGCTGGAATATTGCTGAGTGTCACGTAAAACAATACTCACTCACTCACTTTAATTTAGTAAATATTCACATATGTGTCTGTGATGGTCAGAGCTCTTAATGGTTTAATTAACTGTGCAGAGTTGCCTCCCTTATCCATGACAGGATGTGTTAGTCATGGATTCAAGCTTTGACTGTTATATTTTAAGTCTCAAATCATCATGCCCATCCTTATGGACTTTACAACCGAAATTTAAGTCACCCACACGCTGTTTTGTCTCCCCAGCCTCCGTGTCAAGTCCGTGTTCACTGGCCGAATACCACAGTCTGCAGAAGGAACTTGATGAACGAAACAAGCAACGGGATGACCTTCTGCTACAGGTCAAGGTAGGTTACATCAACATGATGTTAGAATGTGGATCGAGTGGTCACAGTGCCTGGTGACAGTAACCTGGAACTTAACAGTCAACTGGGTACTTCAACTATGCCCGAGTCAGCATGTTGGGACACAGGTGTAATATAGGACACGCTATATTGGCATGACCCACCATGTTCCCATGGTTGTTCTGAGTGAGTGAAGTTAGTTTTACGCCGCTTTTAGCAATATTCCAGCAATATCACGACGGGGGACACCAGAAATGGGCCTCACACATTGTACCCATGTGGGGATTGAAGCCGGGTCTTTGGCGTGACGAGCGAACGCATTAACGACTATGCTACCCCACCGCCCCTGGTTGTTCTGAAGGACACTTGTAGTTCAAGTGTTTCACCGGTGCCATCTGTTGGGCAGAATGGGCTCACCATGAACACCTGGTGTCATAATCACATGCTTCTGAAATAGTCGGAGTCATACAATAGACACGGCTTTTAGCAGAGATTTCTTATCATTATGGAAATGGACTTGTCAGTCTCATTTGATGCATTTTGAGGACGATTTAATACCCAGAGAAGTTAACAGTTGTACTTGTTGGGGGTGTTTGGCACTTAGAGGATCAGACAAACACTAGTCAGCTTGGAGTCAGTGTGTGTGAAAGCAGGGGTGGAAATAACCCATTGCCCGACGCCCGAGTCCAGTGTTTTTTTCTGTCGGGCAAGCAAATTTGTATATCACACTGTACCGGTGTCCAGTTGTCTTTCCAATGTTAATTATGTTGTTTATTTTTAAAATCAACAAGAAAATCGGCCGGTATAGTGGAAAAATTATCAGGGCAAGTGATTTTCCTTGTGCCACTGTACCGGAGTACACTAGCAATTTTATAGTTATTTCCAGCCCTGGAAAGGTGTGTCCATTGTTAGAAAACAGGATGGTATCTCTAGCACTATGAAACAGGCATATGTTAAAAACCAGGGCCCTGTTCCACAAAACAATCGTAGTGCTACGATGATTGTAACTCTAACATACCCCTTACTTTAACGAATAGACCTGATCGACTGTCGACCCACCGAAGGCCACGGTCGCTTTGAAGGAACGGGGCGCAGGATATCTTTAGCACGATCATGAATTAGCACTAGTACATGCAGTTATACATACATGCATGTCGCTATGTAAATGTTATAATCTTGAATGTGAAGTTAAACCCATGTCATTACATCTGTTGTAATATTGCCTTTCTAATGGCAATACATTGAAACTTGACTGTGATTTGTCCTGGACCATATTTTCATGTAGGGTTGAGAGGGAAAGTCTTGCAACACCTACACTGATCCAGAGTGGGCTGCAACCTCCCTCTTTGAAGCTTACTAATCATGCTGACATGTAAAAAACATAACCAAGTCATAAAATGACTTATTTGGAATATGAATAACAAGTGACTGACTTAATGTCCAAGATATTTTTATGGATTAAACTTCTTTTTAATTTCTCTCACGACGCTTCGAGACCATTCCAGGTCCCTTCATCAGGTGAACGGAATGGTCTCGAAACGTCGTGAGAGAAATTAAAAAGAAGTTTAATCCATAAAAATATCTTGGACATCAATGTACAACTTCTAAATGCCACTGAAAGACATGACTGACTTAAGTTTGGAAAAAAATTGTTTTACTAATTGTTTCCATTTTAAGTGTACACCCACGCCCAACATCCGCTTCCAAACCCAGCCTTGAACACTTTCCAACATGCTGTGTACATGCGCTCACTAACACACCCACACATATCCTCATACCCATTTTTATAAACTGCATTTTCCTTCGACATGTAAATGTCTCTGAAGTGACGCCTACATACAACTTGAAATCAATGATAAGCTTTTTTTCCTCTGTTGTTTAATCTGCAGGGGGCGGGTTGTTTACTTCTGAAGATTAAATCTTTAGAATCTGTACCATCTATCAGCCTGGTAATCACCGCTACTTGAAATGAGTCATCGTTGTGGGATTTTTAATAGTTAGGTTTTTTAAATGCAGCAAACATGGAACATATAATATGGACAACTAGGGATGTCACAATACATAAGTTTCATGAATCGATACGTATCACGATACCCATATCACGATTCTATACAACACTTTATACAGAGGCTAGGCTACGGCAAACATACCTATTTTCAACAGAATTATTGCATAAATTTAGTTACATTTTGAACATTAATATTTCATATCTTTAACTGTCCATGAAAAGATCAACATTTTTTATTCTCAGAGGTTTAAAAGTTCTAATTTCCCATCTTTGTGCATGAAAAATAATCATTTATAACACTGATAACATCATAAAACATGATACAATTGCAAAATGTAAACGATACATAAACATATCTACACCGATAAAAGATTATTTGAAATGTTTATTTTAGGAGAATTGATGTCAGTCTATCTTGGTGAATAACGCAAAACATTCAATGGCCATCAAAACTGTACTGTAGATACAACTACCAGTAGACTATGATTAGAGATGAGTGAGTGAGTGAGTTTGGTTTTACGCCGCTTTTAGCAAGATTCCAGCAATATCACGGCGGGGGACACCAGAAATGAGCTTCACACAATGTACCCATGTGGGGATTCGAACCCGGGTCTTCGGCGTGACGAGTGAACGCTTTAGCCACTAGGCTACCCCACTGTCCCGACTATGATTAGATATAGACTTGGAAAGATACTAGGGCTGCAACGATTCACCAAGTCCTCGATTCGATCCGATTCAATTTTCGATATTGGATCCTCGATACGATAATTTTTTATTTGATTCTTCATACAAGTAAACCATCAGATTTCATTTAACTCTCAGAGTCGGCTTTTTTAGCGTGAAATCCATTGTCAACTTGACTATGTCTACAAGCGACAATTCTCATTGGATAATTAGCCCGGCGTCAACCAATCACGTTTCGCCTCATATCAGCCCTCAAAACAGCTACGATCCTGCTGTGTGGAAATAATTTAAATAGGTATTCAAATATCAAATTGAAATAGTGATAATGGTTATCGAATAACTAAAGTTTCAGATTCAATTTTCAATAAATCGAACCGAATCGTTGCAGCCCTAAAAGATACTGTATTTTGAAGAAGAACATGTTCTATGGTCTTCTTTGTACCCTCTTTTTGTATTCTAGACATCTGTCATGAAACTGTCATGCATGATCACATATGTTTACTTTGAGCATGACACAAAAACATGGCACACTCCACTTAACCCTGTATTCTTCCCCACACAATGTATTGTATTGACAGACGACCAGGATGGTATTTACTGATAGATTGATGCTCTTTGAAGCTTGCTGTGTCTTTGGTTTCTTTGTCCCTCTCTACAACCCCCCATTCACTTCAGTGCCCCTGTCCTCTACAGTACTTGAAGTAGACTAAGGCTTAGTCTCTGAATATATATAATCTTGATAGTAACAAACAAGCCCATTTAAATTGAAAAGGAGCCCTAGGGAGACCAGAGATTCAGAACCTGGGGAAATCTAGACTTGCTTCGTTTAGGGCTTTAGCACTACAGGGAAGGCTAGGCTGTAGGGAAAATAATGTGGTTCAGGGACTGTGAGACAGACTATACTTGAAGCTGCTCATATTTGTAGCAAACTGTATCTATGTCTGAGACTGAGGATGATATACACATATATCCCTTCTATACCATTGTAGCTGTATATATGTTGACAACTTTGGGGCAAACAGTTCTAATATTTGATGGATCTAGGATGATATAGACATATATCTCTAGTAAAACCGGGTAGCTGCTTATATGTTGACAACTTTGTGGCAAAAAGTATCAATATTTGACAGACCTAGGATGATATACATATATATCTCCTATTCTAACTTGTAGCTGCTGATCTGTTATCTTTGTGACCGTCTGTGTTTGACAAGAGTAAGGAGACACGTCTATGAACTTCACATTAACCAATATTGTTTTAGAATTTTAAAGTGATAAAACATTGTCATATTGTTATTTTACTGGTCAAGAGAATGTCAGATAAACAACAAGACCTGTATTAGGGGAAGCTGGGTTTTAGGGTCCGAGGGGAGCTCTTACATTTTAAGACTGTATCTTATTTTACCCCAGCCCTCCCCTATAATATATGACCAGCCCCAAAGGAATCAAGGGGCGGTGGGGTAGCCTAGTGGTTAAAGCGTTTGCTCGTCACGTCGAAGACCCGGGTTCGATTCCCCACATGGGCAAAATGTCTGAAGCCCATTTCTGGTGTCCCCCGCCGTGATATTGCTGGAATATTGCTAAAAGTGGCGTAAAATCAAACTCACTCACTCACTCACCAAAGGAATCATGTATATATGATTATGCTTTACTTTTAATCCTAAGTGTTATCATCATGATCAAAAGTGGGTTGTATTGGGAAATTTCTATTTTCTTTATACTTTTTGTATAGAATATCTGCAAAATTTACGAGAGGACATGGCCTTAAGCTTGCAAAGTTAGCAAATTAATGCAAGTTTTTTAAAACAACATTGTTCATGATACAGTTGAGGAAATGTCAGTTAGATTCATTATTTGAAAGCCAGTCTTGTCAAGATGCTTTGATCCTGTTTCAAAGAATTTCTAAGAACATAAGCTCCTTGGTTTATATCACAGAGATTTCACTGACAGCAGTAAGCCTGAACTGCCACACAGATGTCAGTCGGGAGAAACTGTCAGGATAATATTCAGATGACTTTTAGAATTGTCTAGTATCAACTCAGAACCTCATGTCAAGTGTAGTTCAGCTTCTTCAAGTACGCCTCAAGTCAAAGTCCTGAATTTGATTCCCCTCATGGGTAAAATGTATGAAGTTTAATTCTGGTGCCCCTCACTGGAATACTGCAAAAAGCAGTGTAAACCATATTCGCTCCTCGAAGTACAATCTGTTGTTACCTGTATGGTCTTCATATTTAAGAGGGCGGTGGGGTAGCCTAGTGGTTAAAGCGTTGGCTCGTCAGCCGAGGACCCGGGTTCGAATCCCCACATGGGTACAATGTGTGAAGCCCATTTCTGGTGTCCCCCGCCGTGATGTTGCTGGAATATTGCTAAAAGCGGCGTAAAACCAAAACTCAGTCAGTCAGTCAGTCATATTTAAGAAATTAGTTTTGATCAGAGATGCCAAAAGGTTTTGAATGCATTAATTTGTATAATATTTCCCAGTGAAAATGTATGGGAAAACAAGTGAGATATCAGTAATTCCTGAATCTGTAAAAACTGAATCTGTTAATCCAGGGTTTGAATATAATTTTCAAGAAAAACTCTGAAATACCTAATATTTACTTTCTCCAAATGTATTCTCATTCAAACAAATTAAGGATCTTTGAACTCTCTTTTTTTTTGCAAAGTGTGAGGGGAAATGTATATAATTCATATCCATAGAAAATAATACACATACCAAATGTGTGTCTATACATTTGCTATTAGGGTGCTGATGAGTCCATAGCGTTTTCATTTGTTTATTTTGAATGCAATGTTGCTCTATTGCAGACTTTAACAGACAAGAACAAACAGTACCGGTCAACATTAACTAAAGAAGAAAACAGCAAGAAACAACAACTGGGAATTCTACGAAAAACTCACCAGACCCAGCTGGATGAAAAAGACGACCTAATTCAAACCCTCAAAGAACTATTGGAGGAACACGAGAGTAGGATAGAACAGTTAGGGAAAGATGTGCAGGGTGAGTGCGTCGTCCATATTACACAGGTTTCTATACATTGTGTTTCTATACCTTTGGTGATTCCAGGCTGCAACAGCTATATGGCGGCCGGTTAGGACCAGACAATCCAGTGAGTGAGTTTGGGAACCGTTTAGTCAAGCTTAAACTGACCACCGATCCCGTTAATTCGCACTCAGCAATATTCCAGCTATATGGCAGCTGAAGTCTCTAAATAATCGAAGTCTGGACCAGACAATCCAGTGATCAACAGCACTCAGAGCATCGATCTAAATAATCGAGTTGGGAATCCAGTGATGATGACATCGATCTGTCAACCAAGTCAGCAAGCCTGACCACCCAATCCCGTTAGTAGCCTCTTACGATAAGCATGGGTTACTGAAGACCAATTCTAACCCAGACTTTCACAGGTCAGGAACCTATGATGGTCGTAAGAGTCAGGGTGAACTTTACACACGTGCCTCGTCAGTACTACACGTGTTTCTATGTGTTATGTGACTAATATCATGATTCCAGGTGAGAAACAGACAGATAGACAGTAGACTGTTCCTCTGTCACTTAAGGGTTCGATCCCCCAACCACGTCATACCAAAAGACGATAAATATGGTACTTGTTGGTCCCTGCCTGGCGTGTGGCATTAATGGGTACAACAAGGACTGGTCAGCTCGGAGTCAGTATAATGTGTCTGAGTGGGGTATTCATGCTTCACTGCGGCATGGTATCTCAGTGGGCTAGCACTATAAAACCAGCTTCAGTCTGGGCTAGTACAAGCAGCCGCACATACACATACACACGCATGCACGTCGTCATATGAGCGAAATATTCTCAAGCACGAAGTTAAACCCAATTTCACCTCACCTTTCACTTAAGAATACTTACACCTGATTGTAGTCATTATTTTCAACCAACAACTATTCAGTTCAGCAAGAGGGAAGACATTGTGTGCTCTGACCAATGACTGTTCAGATTACACTGTTCAAATGTCAGTCAGCAAGTGCCATAAACTAGATCACTGCTTCAGTAGATTGTCTCACAGTCCCTGAACCATATTTGGGTCTATTCCACCCAGTTCTTACTGTAAGCTCAAAATGAAGCAAGATTTTCTCAGGTTCTGAATCTCCAACCTCACTTGGCCTCCTTCTCAATTTAAAAGGAGCTATTTGTGTCTATCCAAATTATGTATTTTCAGTGGCCAATTGTAAATCTAACTGCTTGGATTTGTTTGGATTTGGCCCGCTATAAAACTGTCCGGGTCCAGTGCAATTATTTCATTATTATACATGGCCTCGTTTCATTGCTTGATTTGAAATAGACATGTGTCTACTACACCTGACACTGGCCTCATGAATAAATGGGTGATGGAGGACTATACAGTATACTAGGTGAGGTGAGGTGAAATTGGGTTTAACGTCGTACTTGAGAATATTTCACTCATATGACAACGTGCATGCGCGTGTATGTGTATTTGCGACTGCTTGTACTAGCCCAGACTGAAGCTGGTTGTATAGTGCTAGCCCACTGAGATACCATGCCGCAGTGAAGCATGAATACCCCATTCAGACACATTATACTGACTCCGAGCCGACCAGTCCTTGTTGTACCCATTAATGCCGAGCGCCAGGTAGGGACCAACAAGTACCATATTTTAACGTCTTTTGGTATGACGCGGTCGGGGATCGAACCTGCGACCTTCCGCTCTCCGGGCGGACGCTCTAAGCACTACACCACGGAGGCAGTCTACAGTATACTAAGCCATGCTATGTTGATAATGTAAATATACTGATCCAGTATGTATCTTGTGATATTAAGACTGACCACCGTGCTTGTAGGTTTGTTTGTTGCTTAATGCTGCACTCAGCAATACTCCAGCAATATGATGGCAGTCTGTGAATAATTGAGTCAAGACCAGACAATCTTGTGATTGCCATGAAGAGCTTCGATCTACTCAATTTGGGATATGATGACATGTGTCAACCAAGCCACGAAGCCTGACCACCCGATCCGTTAGTCGCCTCTTACGACAATTATAACACATATCTTCATATGTTTCAATATTGAGGCAACATTAATCAGTATTTATTCGTTACTATATTGGTGTCATACATTAAACAATGTTGCAATGTCAAGCTTTCAATTAACTGTGCGTGCCCAGTTGACCTCATTGGGGTGCGCCCTCTCCCCCCCTCCCCTTTTTTTTTTTTGTCTTGAAAGTTTTTAAATGACCATACAAACTCTCATGAAAATGACAGTTCATGCAGGCATGCCAGAAACCTTTGATCTTGGGGTGGTATCCTAGATTCAGTAGATTTATGTTTTCTATAAAAAGTCTTATGTCTTCATGTGTCAGGGGCAGTGGGGTAGCCCAGTGGTGAAAGTGTTTACTAGTCACTCTAAAGACACGGGTTCAGTGTGTTGCAGAGTGTCTGTTTATCCCATGACTTGATGACTTGCTCTGCTCTTCAACTGCTGTACTACCCATCTTGCAGGTAACATCACAGCACAGACGACCTCCACCCACAACTCCGGCACAGATACAGCCTCCACATCAGCCACAACATCAGCCTCAACATCAGCCTCTACTCCAGCTTCCAAACTGGTGGAGAAGGTGGCCAGCCTCCAGGATGACAAGCTTGAGCTGACCAAGGAGCTGGTGACCCTGCGCTCTGAGACTGAGCTGCACGAGCTGCAGCAGAATGAAACCATCCAGAACCTCCAGCAGCTCAACGCCAAGTTGGAGAAGGAGAACGCCCAGCTGCATGACCAGACTACCAAACATCACCATGGAAGTGACTTCGATGTAGGTCCATAGTATTCATGTTTCGTCTAGATGTGCCTTAGGGAACGTAATTAATCATTAGGATATCCTCCCACCCCTTCTTCTGAAGCCACCCGTGAAGGTCCGGGTTAGAATGTACCTTCAGTATCCCATGCTTGTCGTAAGAGGCGACTAACGGGTTCGGCTGGTCAGGCTCGCTGGCTTGGTTGACACATGTCATCGGTTCCCAATTGCGCAGATCGATGCTCATGCTGTTGATCACTGGATTGTCTGGTCCAGACTCGATTATTTACAGACCGCCGCCATATAGCTGGAATATTGCTGAGTGCGGCGTAAAACTAAACTCAGTCACTTACTCTTTTGAAGCCTCCACTCATGTGGTTCAACATAGCCACTAGTCCCAGATAAGTGAAATATACTGCTCAAAGTTTGCTTAGGACCACTTCTGAATCCACCCCACTCTTCATACTCACCAAAAAGGCCAAAATTAATTGTAGATGAATGGGATTTCTCATGTTACTTGTGTGTAAGGACTAGAACAATGATGAATTCTATTATATTTAAAGAATACTTCTTCCGTCTCTGCTGGAATATTGCTAAAAGTAGCATAGGAACTTACTCACTCACTTCACAAAATCCATGGATGATAATATCATTATAATTTTTAACCTGCCTAACGCTTGACACCAAAGAGATAACATTCCCCACACAATTGTCGCTATATATAAATATTTACCCCCATTTTACCTCACATCATTATAGCAGAGATGCCAACCACTCTGATTATGGCAAAGTTACTCCAATTTTCAAATACAAAATCTGCTTTCCGATTTCTCTTTAAAAAACTCTGATTTTAAAAAAAATAAATTTAAATATGAATTTATTTTTACAGTATACAATTTCGTAAGTTACGGGTGATTTATTTGAGTGAACACTGGTAAAAGCATTCAGAAGCTTAGCGTGTGATCCTTTGGGTGTAGATTGTGTAAATTGCATGTTATTGATGATGAAGTTTCACAAAGTTTTTTCCGAATGCATGTCATAGTCCGTATGAAAGTGAAATAAAATGGCAGAGCCGAACACACGCTCACCCCCAACTCGCATTTTTGGTGCTCAGGCCTGGCTTTCAGCCAGTCATGACTCGGTTTCCCTTAGATTCAGGGTTGGCATCTCTGTTATAGTTATTTACCAGCCATATCAACCTATAGATGTGTTGTATTTAAAACTGTGTAAATCCTGAGATGTTTGCACAAGTCTCCAAGTAACAAACATAGACTAGAAATGGCTGGGGGTGGTGGGGTAGTCTAGTGGTTAAAGCGTTGACTCGTCACGACGAAGGCCCAGGGTTCGAATCCCCACCTGGGTACAATGAGTGAAGCCCATTTCTGGTGTCCCCCGCCGTGATATTGCTGGAATATTGCTAAAAGCAGTGTAAAAACCAAACTCAGTCAGTCAGAAATGGCTGGGCTGGTGAAATATTGCTAATAGATTGGGGTATAACAGAGATTTCCTGACTCTCCAGGTCAACATTGTAGCAACAAAATGAACGTTACTCAAGCCAGGCCATTAAATATAAGTTACTGGTTACACAACCAGCAGAACAAAGCTGTGCTGTGAAGGTGTTATATGTCTCCTGCTATGTCTCACATCAATCTCACACTGCCACTTTTACTAAGAATTTATTGATTAAACGTTCAATATGTGATTTTCATTACTCCATGACTCTCTCCTTACCAGGTATTATTTGTATTCAGGGAAACGCCAGGATCAATATAAACTGTTAACCTTGAATCTCCACCTACAACCCACAAGACATTTATAATTCATGGAGTTTCGTTTCACATCTCGAAATCCACAAGAGATGACAGAACGGAGCTGTGTTTGGCTGCTTAGGAAGTTATGTTATAACTATGATGTGTGTTATAACATGTCATAGCGCCTGGTAATGTCAACATGGCAACATACAGTAACACCTACTCAGGTTTTGTCAGCAGTGTTTAATAGCAGGGATATGACGCTGACCATTTTTGACTAACTGTAGTCTTGGTTCTTCAAGCCGGGTTGGAGGTAGCCTCATGGGTAAAATGGTGCTATACTGAATACATGGGTTTGATTCCCATTGTGGGTGTAATCGGTAACCCTTTCTTTGTGTCCCAAACTGTAATATTGGTAGGATATTGAAAAAACAGCTTAAAACAATACTCATGCTAATGTATTGTTTGATGTTAAGGGGGGTCTAGTGACTCAATAGATTGGCTCCAATAGTCTTTGAATCCAGGACCCTTGTATTTGAACTTAACCTTACATTTATGGTAAAAAAACTTGCCGTACATGATTAGCTCTGAACATTCAATTTTCCACATCCGAACATACCTAATTTCTTCCATAAGTTATCCACATACAAAGAGGCAACATTTATGGATGTCAGCTTCTGTAAGATGAGGAACATGATATGTTTTTGTGTTCCTCAAATAACAGAAGTTGACATCCATATATTTCAGCCACCTCTATGTGTGTCACTTCTAAATGCCAGTCAAAGACTTTGTAATGTATATATTCTTGGTCATCTCTACATCAGTAAGATCTCTTTGTGTGACAGTTGTAGTTTTGCTTTAGGGCAAGAAATGGATGTATGCATTCCTCTCCACTGCTTTAAATGATGTTTACAATTCATTGCCTGGTGACTAATGATTTTACATTTTGCAATGTGGACTGAAATATTCATGTTTCATTTTTATTTGCTATTTGCATTTTACGACCACCCAAGAATTCTAATTTGAGGTCATATAGTTCAAGTATGGTACATGATGAATCCTTAAAAATGGCAGCATTAGTCTACACTGCATGGAGACACCCACTTAAGTGTGGGGAATATTTATGTGCTAAGTCTTACATTCATCCTGTCAGGACTTTCACTTATTGGGATATTGATATGAAAGGGAACTTTAATACTTAACCAGAGCGGAACCCCATGAGGTGGGTGAGTAGTGATGTGGACGAGACCTAGGTGGAGGTGTTGTGTGGGTAAATCAATATTTTATTGATTTCTGTTTTTGAGATGAGATATTGATCAATTGTTTTGATGAGTCAGATAATTGTGGAAGATGAAGGTTAAGATATATATGAAGAGCAGTTAAATGTTTGTTATTAAACCAGTATAACAGTTTTTGATTAGGCTGTGACAAATGTTGCTGTAATCAGGTTTGTAACTAAAGATATTTCTAATTCTAATCAAAATTTGAACCCCATCATTTTTGTAAAAATGAGTGTTGTTGACCGACCCAGTGGGCTAACCTTGGCGAGATTTCACTCCCAGAAACATTGTGTGAGACTGAGTCTTGATATCCCTTGCTGCTATATTGATGATGCACAGTGAGTAAGTATGTCACTCTGTTATAGGCTGCCATGCTCATTGTTGAGCGTTGGAGGCAGAAAGGTTGGCCTGACCCATAACACCTCTCTTTGTGTCCGCCTACACCCCGTCGCTCATCTCCTGACAGACATTACCCAGACCTGTCTGATCAATACCAAGGTTCATTACCTGTTGCTAGAAGCAGACACTTCTGACATATCCACAGCATTGCATAGGTAGAACCATGGCAATCAATAATCATGGCTAGAACTGTGTCAGCATCAATAATCATGGCTAGAGTGAGTGAGTGAGTTGGGTTATATGCTGCTATTTGAAATATTATGGCAATATCACAGCAGGAGACACCAGAAAAGGGCTTCACACAGTGTACCCATGTGGGAAATCGAGCCTGAGACTTCGGCATGATGATTGAACACTTTAACCACTTGGCTACCCAACCTCTCCTTATCTGGAAGTATGTGGGTTCAGCGATGGTTGGACCCATGTCATCTATGCTAAACCATGTCTGCATCAATAATCATAGGTAGAATAATGACCTCATGAATGGTCACAGCTAGAACCATCAATGATCACAGCTAGAACCATGTTGGCATCAATGGTCACAGTTAGAGCCATGTCAACATCAATGGTCACACCTAGTGCCATGTCAACATCAATGTTCATAGCTAGAAACTTGTCGACATCAATGGTCACAGCTAGAACCATGTTGGCATCAATGAACATAGCTAGAACCATGTCAACATCAATGGTCCCAGCTAGAACCATGTTGGCATCAATGGTCACAGCTAGAGCCATGTTGGCTTCAATGGTCACAGCTAGAGCCATGTTGGCATCAATGGTCACAGCTAGAGCCATGTTGGCATCAATGAACATAGCTAGAACCATGTTGACATCAATGAACATAGCTAGAACCATGTTGGCATCAATGGTCACAGCTAGAGCCGTGTTGGCATCAATGGTCACAGCTAGAACCATGTTGGCATCAATGGTCACAGCTAGAGCCATGTTGGCATCAATGGTCACAGCTAGAACCATGTTGGCATCAATGGTCACAGCTAGAACCATGTCAACATCAATGGTCACAGCTAGAACCATGTCAACATCAATGGTCACAGCTAGAACCATGTCAGCATCAATGGTCACAGCTAGAACCAACCAATGGTCACAGCTAGTTGTTGACATCAAAGGTCACAGCTAAAACCATGTTGGCATCAATGGTCACAGCTAGAACCATGTCAACATCAATTGTCACAGCTAGAACCATGTTGACATCAATGGTCACAGCTAGAACCATGTTGACATCAATGGTCACAGCCAGAACCATGTCAACATCAATGGTCACAGCTAGAACCATGTCAACATCAATGGTCACAGCTAGAACCATGTCAACACCAGTGGTCACAGCTAGAACCATGTTGGCATCAATGGTCACAGCTAGAACCATGTCAACATCAATGGTCACAGCTAGAACCATGTCAACATCAATGGTCACAGCTAGAACCATGTCAACACCAATGGTCACAGCTAGAACCATGTTGACATCAATGGTCACAGCAAGAGCCATGTTGATATCAATCGTCACAACTAGAACCATGTTGGCATCAATGGTCTCAGCCAGAACCATGTCAACATCAATGGTCACAGCTAGAACCATGTCAACATTCATGGTCTCAGCTAGAACCATGTCAACACCAATGGTCACAGCTAGAACCATGTTGGCATCAATGGTCACAGCTAGAACCATGTTGACATCAATGGTCACAGCTAGAACCATGTCAACATCAATTGTCACAGCTAGAACCATGTTGACATCAATGGTCACAGCTAGAACCATGTTGGCATCAATGGTCACAGCCAGAACCATGTCAACATCAATGGTCACAGCTAGAACCATGTCAACATCAATGGTCACAGCTAGAACCATGTCAACACCAATGGTCACAGATAGAACCATGTTGGCATCAATGGTCACAGCTAGAACCATGTCAACATCAATGGTCACAGCTAGAACCATGTCAACATCAATGGTCACAGCTAGAACCATGTCAACACCAATGGTCACAGCTAGAACCATGTTGACATCAATGGTCACAGCAAGAGCCATGTTGATATCAATCGTCACAACTAGAACCATGTTGGCATCAATGGTCACAGCCAGAACCATGTCAACATCAATGGTCACAGCTAGAACCATGTCAACATTAATGGTCTCAGCTAGAACCATGTCAACACCAATGGTCACAGCTAGAACCATGTTGGCATCAATGGTCACAGCTAGAACAATGTCAACATCAATGGTCACAGCTAGAACCATGTCAACATCAATTGTCACAGCTAGAACCATGTTGACATCAATGGTCACAGCTAGAACCATGTTGGCATCAATGGTCACAGCCAGAACCATGTCAACATCAATGGTCACAGCTAGAACCATGTCAACATCAATGGTCACAGCTAGAACCATGTCAACACCAATGGTCACAGATAGAACCATGTTGGCATCAATGGTCACAGCTAGAACCATGTCAACATCAATGGTCACAGCTAGAACCATGTCAACATCAATGGTCATAGCTAGAACCATGTCAACACCAATGGTCACAGCTAGAACCATGTTGACATCAATGGTCACAGCAAGAGCCATGTTGATATCAATCGTCACAACTGGAACCAAGTTGGCATCAATGGTCACAGCCAGAACCATGTCAACATCAATGGTCACAGCTAGAACCATGTCAACATTAATGGTCTCAGCTAGAACCACGTTGACATCAATGGTCACAGCTAAAACCATGTTGGCATCAATGGTCACAGCAAGAGCCATGTTGATATCAATCGTCACAACTAGAACCATGTTGGCATCAGTGGGCACAGCTAGAACCATGTCAACATCAATGGTCAGTAGAGCCAGCTAGAACCATGTCAACATCAATGATCACAGCTAGAACCATGTCAACATCAATGGTCACAGCTAGAACCATGTCAACATCAATGGTCACAGCTAGAACCATGTCAACACCAATGGTCACAGCTAGAACCATGTCAACACCAATGGTCACAGCTAGAACCACGTTGACATCAATGGTCACAGCTAAAACCATGTTGGCATCAATGGTCACAGCCAGAACCATGTCAACATCAATGGTCACAGCTAGAACCATGTCAACACCAATGGTCACAGCTAGAACCATGTTGGCATCAATGGTCACAGCTAGAACCATGTCAACATCAATGGTCACAGCTAGAACCATGTCAACATCAATCGTCACAGCTAGAACCATGTCAACACCAATGGTCACAGCTAGAACCATGTTGACATCAATGGTCACAGCAAGAGCCATGTTGATATCAATGGTCACAGCTAGAACCATGTTGGCATCAATGGTCACAGCTAGAACCATGTCAACATCAATGGTCACAGCTAGAACCATGTCAACATCAATGGTCACAGCTAGAACCATGTCAACATCAATGGTCACAGCTAGAACCATGTTGGCATCAATGGTCACAGCTAGAACCATGTTGGCATCAATGGTCACAGCTAGAACCATGTCAACATCAATGGTCACAGCTAGAACCATGTCAACATCAATGGTCACAGCTAGAACCATGTTGACATCAATGGTCACAGCTAGAACCATGTTGATATCAATGGTCACAGCTAGAACCATGTTGGCATCAATGGTCACAGCTAGAACCATGTTGGCATCAATGGTCACAGCTAGAACCATGTCAACATCAATGGTCACAGCTAGAACCATGTCAACATCAATGGTCACAGCTAGAACCATGTCAACATCAATGGTCACAGCTAGAACCATGTTGACATCAATGGTCACAGCTAGAACCATGTTGACATCAATGGTCACAGCTAGAACCATGTTGACATCAATGGTCACAGAACCATCAGCAACAATGGTTGAACCATGTCAACATCAATGGTCACAGCTAGAACCATGGTCAGCATCAATGGTCACAGCTAGAACCATGTTTGACATCAATGGTCACAGCTAGAACCATGTCGACATCAATGGTCACAGCTAGAACCAATGCTAGAACCATTGACATCAATGGTCACAGCTAGAACCATGTCAACACCAATGGTCGCAGCTAGAACCATGTCGACATCAATGGTCACAGCTAGAACCATGTTGACATCAATGGTCACAGCTAGAGCCATGTTGATATCAATGAACATAGCTGGAACATTATCGACATCAGTGATTGTATCATTTATATTCAGGTGTTCTATATTCCAGTAAATGAGGTCATGGGTGACAGATTGTGGTTGTGCAGACAGGCAATCAGACCATCTCGGTTGGGTGGAGTTAATACTTCCCTTTGATGATGCTTTTCAATTGATGATCATTGATTGATTGTGTGTGTCCTGCTATTATAGTGACAATGCTGCAGGCTTTTTACCTTGACATACAAAACTGGCGGCCTGTGGGAAATAATTAGTTTCAACTGTCCAAAACAGGAAGAATTATGTGAAGTAATGAAATTGTGATATGACATTGCATAATTACGTTTATTACTGGACTTTTAGTTATTTTCGATAAATTGGAAATGAATATCACAGTTTCCTCAACAGCCTAATCTTTGTGTCCATTCAGTGTATTTGCTGGTACTGGACAAACATTTTGTCACCAAAAGCCCAGTTACTGGTTAGTATGAATGTAACAATCTGTAGTCATGTGATAATCAATCATGCTCATGATTCTGTGATTGGGTTGCAGTATTAGGGCATGAAGGGAAGATGTGTAGAGGATTCACTTTAGCCGTTTAGTCTCCATCATTTTGTAAGTTACTGGTGGTAGTGGAGTGTTCATTTTAAAATTCAGGTTCAGGGCTAAGGATATATTTTGAATGGTTAAATTGGCATGTCTAAATGTAAATTACATCAATGTTAATAATAGTTGTGTTGTTGATGTGCAAAGACCTTTTTGAACATGGCAGTCATACATGCAGTGCATTATCTGGTTACAGGTGTTAGTGTCAGCACTTCTAAACTTTGGACCTTGCACCTATGTATATACTTGGATCACAACACAAATATCCCTTTTGTGTTTACTGGTGCCTATAAATATCTATATTTAGGCCTATTGATTTTAACTGTACATTCATATTTCATCAGACTATAAGTAAAAAGTATTTCCCTGCACTCTCAACAATTACATTTTGAACAATTTGTGGCCAAACAATCATCTCATTTTGCTCCAACAATGCATAGACTTGCTACATTTGTATTAAGAATGGAACACCAAGGTATACATTTATTTACAAGATCATATTCTTAAATGTTCAGCTGGAAGGATGAAATTATAAATACCAACACAAGCATGCTGTGCTTGTCCCAGGATCACATGACCTTTTGGATACACTTCATGCCCGTGTTTCTGTGAAAGGGCACAGGTGATTCAGTGGTATCAGGCAATGCAGTTGCTTTGCAGGGTTGCCTCCCTTTGTCGTGCCAGCATATTATGATTTAAATTTTGAATCTCACATTTACCCTATATATGATTCTTGGTGTTTCAGCACTTTTTGTCTGTGCTCGTTAATTATATAACAGAGTTAAATGCCTTAGATTTATATCACAGCCACAACAGCAGTAAAACCATTTCACTCACTCGCTCACTCACTCACTCACTCACTCACTCACTCACTCACTACATTATACACCTTGCAGTTTCCCTCGAGTCAGTTTGCGGCATACTCCCTGATAGTTTTACACTACATTATCCACCTTGCAGTCTTCCATCACGGGCTTGCAGTCTTCCATACGGGCTGTGTACGACAGACACTCCTGGTCATTTTACAATAACTACTACATTATACACCTTGCAGTCTTCCATCACGGGGCTGTGTACGACAGACACTCCTGGTCATTTTACAATAACTACTACATTATACACCTTGCAGTCTTCCATCACGGGGCTGTGTACGACAGACACTCCTGGTCATTTTACAATAACTACTACATTATACACCTTGCAGACACGGGCTCACACTCCTGGTCATTTTACAATAACATTATACACCTTGCAGTCTTCCACATTATACACCTCCTGTCAGTCTTCCATCACCTTGGGCTGTGTGCGACAGACACTGAGAAGCAGCTCGAGAAGGTACAGGCAGAGAACAACCAGCTCACAAAGCAGATCAGTGGACTCCGCAAACTCTCCGCCCGACCATCATCCATCGCGTTCAACTCCGACAACACACAGATTCAAGTAAGTAGAGACTTCATACTGGTACAGAAGATTACAGTTTTGTTGATACTCTTCATCACTTGTCATTACTCATTACCAAGCCCCAATCCACAAAGTGTTTTGTAATGCTGTGATATTCATATGACTAAGATATACAAGATTTAGTGTAGGTTCTAAAACAGCAGCCACTTTGTGAATCAGAACTGGCTGTCAAAATATATTTTTAGTATATTGTTGGTCTGATGGTTTACCAATCTGTGTGTTTGTACAACTTCCGCATCCCCTCTTCTCGAAAATGAGTTTTGCCTTTTTACTTATATGTTATAATGTCAAGGATGGTATTTGATGCCTTTTGACATGTGTGATCTCATACATGTTGCACAAAAAGTTAAAAAATATGAAAAAGGATATCTTCAGTTACTAGTTCATACAAGTGTGAGCTGTAAGCCAAGGGAGATACCTTTGGTAAAATATTTACACCAGGTTAATAGATGAACCATGATCTTGTTCAAAGTATTCATGTTCATGGTTTCTTCATTTTAAAATGTGACCGACTCCATGGTGTAGTGGTTAGAGCGTCCGCCCGGAGAGCAAAAGGTTGCGGGTTCGATCCCCGACCGCGTCATACCAAAAGACGTTAAAATATGGTACTTGTTGGTCCCTGCCTGGCGCTCGGCATTAATGGGTGCAACAAGGACTGGTCGGCTCGGAGTCAGTATAATGTGTCTGAGTGGGGTATTCATGCTTCACTGCAGCATGGTATCTCAGTGGGCTAGCACTATAAAACCAGCTTAAATCTGGGCTAGTACAAGCAGCCGCACATACACATACACACGCATGCACATCGTCATATGAGCGAAATATTCTCAAGCACGACGTAAAACCCAATTTCACCTCACCTCGCCTCATTTTAAAATGTATTAGGAAGTAGAATAATGACATTTTGAATATGCATACATTTGTTTTAAAAATGGCATGATTTGTGGTTTGGATGATGTTTGGAAAACAAGCATGCTATATACATGCAAAGATAAGACCCATTTCTCCTCACCAAATGTTCATTCTAATTTTAGGCTCACATTGCTAGAAGCAGTATCAAATGATGTACCCTCTGTTCTCGGTTTTAAAGCTGCTTCAGGAAGAGAATGAAACACTCCGGACCGAAGTGTCACTGTTGCAAGACACGCTGGACCAGAAAGAAACTCAACAACGGGACACTGAGATCAAACATCGCTCAGCAGTCATGAAACTGTCAACAGATAACCAGGCATTGTCACGACAGTTGAGAGAAATAAAGGCAGAAATGGTGGCGCTACAAGCCCGGGAACCAGAGGTGGGTGAAGTTGGCAGAGTAGGTCCCCAAAACTGTATGCTTGTTGTAAGACCTAGATGGAATTAGGATAATGTGATCATGAATGTTCCTGCCCTGGCACGCCGAGTAGGTCCCCATGGGTAAACTGTGATGCATTTCTGTTGTAAGACGTGATGTTGATGGAATATTCCTAAAAGCGGCGTAAAACCAAACTCAGTCAGTCAGTCAGTCCTGCCCTGTTAATGATTGCTTATACCATCAACCACAGGTTTGGCTGGCCTAAATGAGCATCCCAGCTGCCATGCAGAATATATTGTCTCAGGATTATACACAGCTGTAACAAACACAGTGGTCCCATTTTCATTAAGTGACCAGCTCCTTGGTGTAATGGGTAGAGTTTCAGCCTGGAGAGCAGGTTGGCGGTTCAATTCCTGGTCATGTCTCACCAAAAGATGTTAAAAGATGGGAATCATTGCTACATGACTCAACTGTGTCTGTGGTGTCTTAGTGAGGTATCCATAGCAAACTGAGGCACAGTATCTCCAACACCTGCATAGATATTGTCACGTAACTGCAGTATTCGTGAATGTTACGTTTACCCCTATTTCTGCAAAGATTTCTGAAGAACTGGAGTGGCCCATGTGCAGTTTCTCAGTCTGGAGTTATCTCCCCTGCTAGCTCTGTATTGCTATGTAATTGAGCACCTCTTACTTGTCTCAATCACCTTTACTTCCTGTACATAGTCTGTCCATGTTATATGTTTTATGTTGGAAGAATTGCCTTGAGAGCTTGTGCTGTAATTTTTAACCCCTTAACTTATGATAAATAAATGCTCCCTTATCTTGTATTATGTAAATCATACCTTGTGTTATGTAAGTTTCTTGTATTGTGTATCTTGTAACTTCAGTTATATGCAGTGTATAAAATATAGCCCATCCCACCGTCCTTGACGTCTGTTTTTGTGAAGGACATTCTATTAAATAAGTAAGGCCATCCTTTGGTCGGGGGAAATATGTGAAAAGAAATAAACTCAACTTGGTTTCAGTGAAGAGTTTTAGTTTTTTGGACTGGCTGTATTTGTTCACGACTGGTCACTTTTGGACAGTCAGTCCTTGACAGGCCACATTTTAAAACTATTTTATACACTGTTATATGTCTTGTATATTGTATCATGTATCTTTTTATCTTCTATTATGTATCATGTATCTTGTATCGCATATCGCATATGTGACCTTCATGAAGCTTTGACTGCCCCGCTGCAGGTGATGCATCAAATTGAGCGTGTGCATGTGGAGGTGGAGTCTGATACGTTGAAGCAGACGCTGCGAGACACGGAGGACCACAACTCCCAGCTGCAGAACAAGGTGCAGCTTCTGCAACAGCAGACAGTGCAGCAGGGACAGGCAGCGGTAGAGCTACGCCAGGAGAAGGAACAACTTCTACATCAGGTCAGCCTCTTGTGGATGTCCGAATGACACCTGGTGTCATTACTGATTTCCATTGATCCATTCGTATAATTTTGGCTATTATTTTGCCTTTTACACACAGTGAAATCTGGTATTAATGTCCTGTATTTTAGGGGCGGTGGGGTAGCCTAGTGGTTAAAGCGTTCGCTTGTTGCGCATATCAATGCTCATACTGTTGATCACTGGATTGTCTGGTCCAGACTCAATTATTTACAGACCACCGCCATATGGCTTGAATATTGCTGAGTGCAGCGTAAAACTGAACTCACTCACTCATTGGGTACAATGTGTGAAGCCCATTTCTGGTGTTCCCTGCCGTGATATTGCTGGAATATTGAATATAAAAGTGGTGTAAAAACCCAACTCACTGACTCCTATATTTTAGAGGATGCTGCCAAGAAGATCCATGTTAGAATTGGCCTTCAGCAACCTATGCATGTTGTGAGAGGCGACTAATGGTATCGGTGGTCATGTGGACTTGGTTGATGGCATGTCATCATGTTCCAGTTGTGCTTATTGATGCTCATGATATCAATCACTGGATTGTCTGGTCTCCTGTCATATGGCTGAGGACCGGTGAAGAGCCGGGTCAGAGTAAACCTTCAGTAACTCATGCTTGTCGTAAGAGGCGACTAACGGATCGGGTGGTCAGACTCGCTGACTTGGTTGACACGTTTCATCGGTTCCCAGTTGCGCATATCAATGCTCATACTGTTGATCACTGGATTGTCTGGTCCAGACTCAATTATTTACAGACCACCGCCATATGGCTTGAATATTGCTGAGTGCAGCGTAAAACTTAACTCACTCACTCATATGGCTGAGTGCTTTGTTAAACACCAAACAAAGAAATCTATAGAGAATGTGATTTAACATGGTGAACCATATGGGGAATGAGGCATCATATTTTATATTTAGTAAGCAGACCTTATCTAGCCAAGTCCAGACCATCTGAAGATGTAAAACACATCACAGATTTTTATCTATGATGTCTCAATATTATAGTTCCCCATAGTCATGGATTAAACTTCATGTGATGAATACAAATCTTACCTTAATCAGGGTGGTGAGGCCCAATGGATGCAGTGTTCACTTGTGCCACAGTAGGTCTAGGTTCAAATCCCTACAATGTTTGAAGCCCATAATTGTAGTCCTCTTCTCAGATTCTGCAGCAATATTGCTATGATCTATATTTTGTTAAAAGATTAAGAAATATCTCACTCAAGACAAAAACATTCAGGCTAAAAGAAATTAATCTTACAGCATTATTTGTAATATGTACATCCTTGTTACCCTGTCCAACAATTCCCACTTCCAGCTTGCAAGTCACCAAAGTAAGAACCATGAGCTGCAGGTGTGTATGGAAGAGAGGCTTGCTGAGATGGAGGCAGAGAAGCAGCTAGCTGTCCGGACCACCAGACAAGAGACGGAGGCAGAGATGGCCGGTCTCCGTGCCAAATGTCTCGGCATGTGTGAGAAGCTGGTCTCCGTGCAGTCGTCATTTGACGATGTGATGATTGGGTACATCCAGCTCCAGAAGCTGACGAAGCAGTTCCCGACGATGCTGGCGCAGACAGTTGCCCTGCTGAAGACAGAGGTGAGAGATGGGATCATTTCTGATTGGCTCGTGAGTTTTGTGGCAGGAACGGTTGTGGAATTGGAATGGGTAATGTCCACTTTGGCAATGGCTTCTCAGAATGAAAAATATATCGTCACCCCGGGAGGACCATACTGATGTTGTTGGCATGCAGGTGACAAAGTCTGTTTCCACATCAATGTTGCTGTAGTGTGTATGTTGAAGTCAACCCATGTTTCTACGATGTCGGTATGTTGCAGATGGTGAAGGCAGTCGAGGCAGTGAGTGAGCACAACAAGGAGCTGGTCAAGAAGTACCATCGTGAGATGTCGCTGCGGAAGAAATACCACAACGAGCTGGTAGAGCTCAAAGGTAGGCCTAGTATTTTAGCTAGTATTAGCTGAGGTGGTAGAACTCTAACTTGAAGTAAAAACATTATTATTTCTGAAATATATAACCAGTTGTTGATATCTAGAGATATATTTTAGTATCAATGGAAATTGTTCGAGTCAGACAATTGTTTTTTTACCTCATCATTACGATAACAACTTCACGTTCACCACAGGCAACATACGTGTGTTCTGCCGAGTTCGACCCTGCATCAAGGAGGATGGGCAGCAGAGTAATGTTGTTGTCACATACGACCGTGACGATGATGGACTCATCTACGTCGACAACAAAGGGAGGTGTCAGACATTTGAGATGGATCGAGTGTTCACCGACACCAGCACACAGATAGAGGTAAGAAACTTCACTCATTATCATACTTGAATTATTTGAATTTTAATATCAGTTCCACCGCACATCAACACTAGATGTTTCTCGCAAAGTTCCATATCAGGTATGGTCATGTTGTGAACACAAGAAAATTGATCAAGCAGTTCTGTGTTTCTGTGGGACATGAGTTTAGATTTTAGAGTATGATCCCATCAAGTGTGATGTTGATGTTGATGTTGTAGGTGTTTGAGGAGGTGAAGGCCCTTGTCACCAGCTGTATCGATGGCTTCAATGTCTGCATCTTCGCCTATGGTCAAACAGGCTCTGGAAAGACTTACACTATGGAGGTACAGTTTCTTTTGTATATGTTGTGGTCAGTGTGCAAAATAGCCACTGGCCCGCTAGCCCGTGGCTAGTAAAAATCCAGTCGGGCCAGTAAATCTCCACAGTCTCTGGCCCGACTGGCTAGTGAATTTTCATGGGATCATTTTCTAAATATAATACACTTTTAAATCATGCAAGATTATGGCCTGATAAATATGTTCATCATATTAGCAGCTTAATGATGAAACCTGTGTCTACATTCAAATTTCGGGCTAGTGAATTATTATGTGGGCTAGTAACTTTCAGGCATAGCTAGCCCCTAATGGCTAGCAAAATTTGGAAACTATTTCGCACATTGGTTGTTGTGAATCTTGGCTGGAGTTCGTCCCTAGTAACCTAAGTTTGTTGTGAGAGGCAACATGAAAATCTGGTGGTCAGTGTCAGTGACTTGTGGGGCGGTGGGGTAGCCTAATGGTTAAAGTGTTGGCTCGTCACGCCGAAGACCCGGGTTCGAATCCCCACATGGGCACAATGTGTGAAGCGCATTTCTGGTGTCCCCGGCCGTGATGTTGCTGAAATATTGCTAAAAGCGACGTAAAACCAAACTCAGTCAGTCAGTCTGGTCCAGACTCAACTTTTTCAGACCACATGTCCTAGAGGAGGAATATAAGGAAAATGTGGCTGTGAGTTTTGTATAATAAATAGTAAAAATATTTGTCCTGGTCCATTTTCATTTTATGGTACAAAATCAAGCAGTAGATATGTTCAGTGATATGTTTAAGTATGAATAAAACATGGTCAATCCTAGGATTTGGTAAGAAAGACTTTACTATCTTTTGACATGTTCATGCGATCAAAGAGTTAAGATGCAATTATTGGTTGATGTTCAGGGTCCCTCATCAGATCCAGGCATCAACCAGAGGGCGCTGCAGGAACTGTTCCGGGAGACCAGTGAGAAGGGGCGAGACTGGCAGTTCACCATCACTGTCAGTGTGGTCGAGATCTACAATGAAAACCTCAGGTAGGCCTCCATTGAGAAGAGGCGGCCCTGATGTCTCAGGTGTCGCAATTTAATATTTAGAGTTGCGCCCCTTGGGTATGCAGGAAATCAGTGATATTGGGTTAGAATCCGAAATTTTATCTGATTATGTTTCCAAGTTTGTCTACACCATACCATGTTGATGGATAAATGTCCATGAAGTGCATCACTTTGAGCTGACTGACACAACATGATGTAAATGCTGTATAGATTGTTATTAAATGAAACTCACTTCAGGTTTGAGTGAGTGAGTGAGTTTAGTTTTACGCCGCACTCAGCAATATTCCAGCTATATGGTGGCGGCCTGTAAATATTTGAGTCTGGACCAGACAATCCAGTGATTAACAATAGGAGCATTGATCTGCGCAATTGGGAACCGATGACATGTGTCAACCAAGTCAGCGAGCCTGACCACCCAATCCCGTTAGTGGCCTCTTACGACAAGCACTCCAGGTTTGAAGATGTGACAGTTGGTGTCGATGTGAATGACCTTATTTAACATACCACATGTGTTTCCTGATCTGAAACGATCCCCAGTACTTTCTCCTTGCGATACATGTCAACTAAACTGAAAATAAGGTGGTCACAGTATGTCACCTCAATGATGTCCTTGCAGACAGACCTCCTGGATGCAGAGTTGCCACAGACCATGATAGAACTGAAATACTGTGCTAAGTGGCACAAAACACTCATGAATGGACCAGTAGTTGAGTCAAACCATTACCTGTGATAATATACTTTAGTTATATCGATATATGTACATCGAGTAGGAACTTTGTTTCATCGTGAAGCATGCCATGTGGCGTATGAATATGTGTCACTTCATCATGGCGTATTAAACTAGAAGTATCGTCTGTGTTGGTTGTCCCTGCCTTTCAACGAATACGACCGTCGAAACCGCACACAAAAACATAACATTACCCACACCGCCTGGCCTACAGATGGAATAAGGACCATCACCATAGTTTAGTGGACAAAGCAAGTGCCCAGAAGCAAACAGGTCTGGGTTCTATCCTACCTGTCACTTTGCATTAAAGGGATGAAACAAGGTGTGGGGTGGTTGGGTAACGTCATAGTGAAAGTGTTGGCTTGTTACACCAAAAGCCTGGGTTCGATGGGTACAATGTGTGAAGGCCGCCTGGGTTCGATGGGTACAATGTCTGGTGTCCCCTGTTGTGATATTGCTGGAATATTGCTGAAAGTGGCATAAAACCCAACTCACTCACTCATTCACTCACTCACTCACTCACTCTTCAGGGATCTACTGAACAATGACAATGGCAGCAAGCTGGAGGTGAAGATGAACCCAGACGGAGGCTTCCATGTTCCGGGTCTCACACAGTACCAAGTGGCCACAGTCAAGGATGTCAACAAGGTGAGTCGGTAAAGGGAGACAACTAGGTAGCACTTTCAGGGGCCCATGATTTGATCAGACTGTAGTGTATACTTTCTCTACAACTGTTGGTGTAGTGTGTTTTATTTCCTGTTGGTGGGGCGGTGGGGTAGCCTAGTGGTTAAAGCGTTCTCCTCCTCACGAAGGCCTGGGTTCGAGTCCCCAAATGGGTACAATTTGTGAAGCCCATTTCTGGTGCTCCCCCTCCGTGATATTGCTGGAATATTCCTAAAAACGGCGTAAAACCATACTCAGTCTGTCAGTCAGTATTGTCTGTTGGTATTTTAGTAAATAGGAGTCATTGTTACAATTTATTTCATTCTAAAGTTGGGGTAGCCAGTGGGCAGTGATGTTACCTAGTCACCGAAGAGCCCGGTTCGAGTCCCCACATGGGTACAATGTGTGAAGCCCATTTCTGGTGTTCCCCGCCGTGATGTTGCTGGAATATTGCTAAAAGCGGCGTAAAACCAAACTCAGTCAGTCAGTCATATTCCACAGGGGCAGTGGTGTTACCTAGTGGTTAAAGCAGGCTTGATCACCCCATGGTGATGTTGCTTGAATGTTGCTAAAAGCAGCATGTTGCTTGAATGTTGCTAAAAGCAGCATTCACTCACTTAGTAGCCTGATTAAGGTATGATTACACAATGCTATTTTAGAAAGTGGTCAAATGTAACTTATGTTATAAGATTTATCACCATTTTCATGTGACCATAGTAACCGGTAAATGTATTGTACTATTGAAGGACCAGTCATCTTAGGGGCCTTATGTTAATCTGTACAGAGTTATGTACCTTAGCTACCAGGATCTGCTTGTGATGGGTTTCAAGCCCAGAATCCTTTGCATTATCCTCCTGGGCTTGTGTCTACAGACAGAGGCAGTATTTGATTCTTTTACATTCACCTGACAGTCTCTGACTGAAATACTGTTCAGAAACTTGGAACCTGACTTTGCTTAAAAGTTATCTTGGATAAATAGAGTATCTATTCTCATGCAGGTGTTTGCCGTGGGCCAGAGGAACCGTGCCACAGCAACCACCAACATGAATGAGCATTCCTCTCGATCTCATGCCCTGTTGTGTGTCACCATCACCGGCGTCAACAAGACGACCAACACCAAGACTGTCGGTATGTAAAACATCAAAATAACTTGCTGGAATGGTGAGACACAGAGGAAACTCAGTTATCTCCCCTTTATATGGCGGTGTGTGGTCCTGTGCGTACAGCTCAGGTCACGAATCAGTTGAAGTTAAGCAACGTCGAGCTCAGATAGTAATTGGATGGGTGACTGTGTTTGGCAGCTTGACTCATGAGAGTTTCTAGGACTTCAGTCCCACAATGAAGCACATGTGATACATGAGGTCTCACCTTAGGTAGGTGAGTTGGTTCAAAATTGCCTCTGTTCACGCAGCAGAAAATGGGTACCTGGTTGGAAAAGGTCACATGACTATAACCTTCTAGTGCCTAACAGGCAGCTTGGGTTATCCGGGGTATTAATAATCAGATTCTGATAAAGCGCGGCAAGCAATCACTTGGTGTTTGGAGACTGTGTGCTATAGAAGATGACTTATTATTACAAAGCGTGAAAACTTAATGAGCACTTTGCCTACATTAATTTGACATGTTGAACATCATCTACAACTTGCTTGGATAATGGGAGATAAAGAGTTAAGTCAGTTTTCTCCCCTACAGAAGTCTTTATACAGTATGCATTATACTTATACGATATCTCTGTAAAAATAACTGCTTAAGATATAAATTATTCTGATAATGGAATAGAATTTCCTTGATGTTATGTTATTGGATCGTTTTAACTGAATCACCGGTACATTGGACCAAAACATCTGTGCACAACTGAATGCTATTTCTGGCTTAGTTGAATAACAGGTAGCATAACAGGAACAACAATTGAATTATCATGTCTAGTGATGTTTGATTGCAAGGTTCCTGTACATACATCTATTTTCATTTACAAAGTTTGTTTTTTTTACGTCCAACAATACGATATAGTTTCGACAGGGCACAATACACGAAGTAGCAGTTTTGTTATGTCCATGGAAAATACGATTTTACTTGGCCTTTGTTCCACGTTATGTAATAGTTACTATAATGCGGGTGTCTAATAGCGCAGGGGATCATCCAAGGACCCCAAGACCCGCGTTATGGCGAGGGATGACTGTATGCAGATTGCCTGGATTAATTAAGCAAACCAAGTTTTCTTGCCACATGATTTTAGAGGTCATGTTTTGATACAAAATCCTAAACATATATGTACAGAAATAATAAGAATTGAGTGTTATCTTCCAAGTGTATTTACAATTGAGAGACCGTTGTTTAACATCACTGTAATATTCTAACTATGTTAATGATAAATAGTCACAATCCCATGATGATGAATATTGATCCATGCAATTGTGATACGATGCCCTGCAATCAAACACGAGACTGAGTCTGACCACCCAGTCCAGTTATTCGTCTCTTAAGCGGCCTTCACAGATTTTGTCAAACAACCAATTGTAGTCAGCGAAATTGTCACTGACCGCACCGATAGAGACATGATGCTCAAATGACACGAAAGTTGGAGAGTTTGACAACTTTTAAAATTTCAACATGTGTTGTCAAACTTTAGTTTGCCGTGTGAATGCCGCTTTAAGACAAACAGTGGTTACACAGGTACAAGCTGGCAATGTTCAGTCCTCCACATGATGCTAAAAAAAAGTGGACCCAGTAAACTGTACTTCTCCCTGTGGAACGTGTAGGCTTTGTAATTAGAGATAGGCCACTGTAAACTGTGTTTCTCTGTTTCTTCTGTTTCCTCTGAAAGTTGATGGAGTAGAAGGTTGGAGGTTTGACCTCTGGCTCTGACATTAACAGATGGTGCTTCTTGTTACCCTGCATGGTGATCAGAATACTGTGGCTCTCTGTTTCCTTTGAAAGTTGACCCATGAAGATCCGGGGTAGAATAGGTCTTCAGCAACCCATGCTTGCCACAAAAGCCGACTATGCGTGTCGTAAGAGGCGACTAACGGGATCGGGTTGTCAGGCTCGCTGACTTGGTTGACACATGTCATCGGTTCCAAATTGCGCAGATCAATGCTCATGCTGTTCCTCACTGGATTGTCTGGTCCCGACTCGATTATTTACAGACCGCCGCCATATCGCTGGAATAGCGAAGCAGCTTCTTACACAACTAGATATACAGTCAAACACTGAAGTGTCAAAGTTGAACAGACATGCATAATTACTTCGAGTTATCCGAGATACGACACACGCAGAAGTTGATGACTAGATGTGGAATATGCAGGCACTAAACTTTTACTTCAAGACAACAAAGTGGTTGATAAAGTTTGACACAAGTGTTTGACTGTAAGTGCAAGAGTCGTGACCACTTGGTTATTATGCTTTCCAGTTCACTTCTCTGTTTTCTTCCCCAGGTAAACTAAACTTGGTTGACCTGGCAGGGTCTGAGCGGGTCAGCAAATCTGGAGCAGACGGAGCACGTCTCAAGGAGGCCCAGAACATCAACAAGTCACTCTCCTGTCTGGGAGATGTCATCCATGCTCTGCGCAGCAAGCAGAACCATGTTCCGTATCGCAACTCGCGGCTGACGTACCTCCTCCAGGACTCGCTGGGTAAGATCGGGGGCTGCGTGCTAGGTAAGACATGCATGCTCACTTAGACCAGCAGAGACTAACTGAAGGTTGTTTTGTTCATGGTTTGTTTGACTCATTCAAAATGTTTTGTTAAGATTTTGGACAAACATTGACTTTTGTTTTTTCTGTTCATGTGTTTGTGTTTTCTGCTTTCAAAATGTTAATGAGATCAAAATCTCCAGTAAAGTGTTGACCATTTAATCTTGGAGCAAACCAAAGTTATTGTTTACAAATGACTTTTACAAGAAATACAGCAAAAAAAACCCTTTTACTTGAGGTTTTGCACTCAAAAATATCCATATTTACAAGGCATTTCATATGACCTGAAAAATAAAACAAATTCTATTTAAATTGTTTGTTCCTTCATAACTTGACCCCACATGGGCACAATATGGGAAGCCCATTTCTGGTGTTCCTTGCCGTGATATTGCTGGAATATGCTAAATGCAATGTAAAATGAAACTCACTCACTTGCTCTCAACATGAAATTGTCTATTATATGTGATAGGGAAAAAAATATTGTCAAAAAAACCAAAACAACCCTTTTTTCTCATACACTAAATGGTCAAATGGTTATGAAATCTGCAGATGAAGCATGAACAAAACAACATTAGAAAGTGAGTATGCATGTCCTAACATTTGCATGATGCAGATGACACGACTACAGAGGTAATACACTGTAAATGTGTTTCTGTGAATGGATGGCTATCAACCATCACCACTCACACCAGTACACACTGTAATTGGTGCGAGACAGATGTTTCTCAAAAGCAGGTCCTATGCTTGGGAACAACATCCCATTGGGCATTAAAGTGCAGAGAAAATCTGTACATTTAAGAGAATGTTGAAACATTCTTTCAAATCATGTTACAGTTCCGAATGACTCTATCCTTGTCAGACTCATACGAAAGCGCCTTTGAGCAGGACTCATCTGGATATTGGCGCTATATAAATTCTATATATTATTATTATTATTATTATTACCCTGATGGAATTGTACTTTCAAAACCTGCTATTAAGCCGCATGCTAATCAGATAGGTCCATACATCGCTTCCCAGGTACCTATTTTAAACAGCTGGGTGGACTGAGTGCAATGTGGACAAAGTACCTTGCCCAGGGACACAACACAGTATGAGACCCAGGTGACAAATTCTGGTGTCTCCACGGGGTTCGAACCCGGGCCTTGGGCGTGAGAGGCCAGCATGCTAACCACTACACCACTGTGCTCCACACAGTACTGGTAGTTAGTTTTGTTCCGCTAAAGTATTTCCTAAATATCTTCTATGGAACCTCTTAAAGTGAGTGTCCTGTGAAACATTTGTTTGTTTACTTATGAAAGACCTGAAACTCATTTGTACATTTGTTCATTTAAAGCGGTGCTTAGTTCCAAGTCTGTTTCTGCCAATGGGCAAAAAAATTCAGAACCATTTCTGTGATATTTGGAATTTTCTTAAAACTAAATGATTCATTTTTGGTGTTTCATGGTTTACCAAACATACTGTCATCTTTTATGAGGTTTTCATGTGCTTTCGAAACATCCATGGTTTACCACATACCTCATATTTGAAGTTTTAAACTAAACAAGCATTGGCCGGGTAGATGTCTCAAGCAGAAACTGCATTCTCGGTCAATGTTCAATAATGCCGAATAATTTTTTGCCTACACAGAAATTGTGTATGAGCTCCTTCTAACAGTGACTCTGTTGGTTACAGGTGGTGACAGCAAGACCCTGATGATTGTCCAGGTGGCGCCGGTCAACTGCAATGTCAGCGAGTCCACTTGCAGTCTGAACTTCGCTCAGCGGGTACGGTCTGTGGAGCTCGGAGCTGCCTCCAAGAGGATCGAGTCAAACACAGACTATAATGAGGTGAAGAGACCCCGCTTAGCTCTGTAGTACGTGGTATGGACAACAGCAGGAACTTCTGTACGAGTTCCTTATTTTCTCACATTTGTTGAACTTCTTTGAACTTATTGAACTGAATAGCACTTCCAGCATGAGTGGACCGTCTCCGTGGTGTAGTGGTTAGAGCGTCCGCCCGGAGAACGGAAGGTCGCGGGTTCGATCCCCGACTGCGTCATACCAAAAGACGTTAAAATATGGTACTTGTTGGTCCCTGCCTGGCGTTCGGCATTAATGGGTACAACAAGGACTGGTCGGCTCGGAATCAATATAATGTGTCTGAGTGGGGTATTCACGCTTCACTGCAGCATGGTATCTCAGTTGGCTAGCACTATAAAACCAGCTTTAAGTCTGGGCTAGTACAAGCCACCTCCAGCATGAGTGGTCAAATTGTAGGATGATCAAATGTGTTGTTTGTATCAGGTGCCAGTGATATGTAGTGATTGTCAGGGTTGCACAACAGTTGAGCGCTCCTTGTGACAATGAGTAAACATTTATGGCTACTGTACCTGGTTCTTGACAAACATGACAGATTTGATCATTTGAGTTTGGATATTGGGCAGTTTTAGGCATCTGGGTACACCCATATAACAAGAGAGCATGTTTCTGAGTGGCCAGGGGCAGTAACTCTTAATTCCACAAAATCAATGCTACATTTTATTAATGCTTCAATCAATTTCTGCCCATGATAATCACAACGAACATACTTACAATGGTCTCTACTGCCACAGTTAAGATTTTAATAGTTCCAGTAGAGATGAGTGACAAATTAAAGATTACATGCTTTGTCCCAAACTCCAGAGATGTTACAAGTTCAGTCTACTTCCAGATTTCTCCCTGTTTACAAACATAGGACAGTTTGTGGCCACAATGTTTCATTAATCCAGACAAAATGAAATGTCTGACCTGTCAGATTTGTGAGTCTCATGCTTTATTGACAAATGTTTCCGCCTCTAATAATAATCCTGGTAGACAAAATTAATTGTGATTTTCGCTCGCTTTTGTTGAACATTCTGAATGAACGTAATCTAAAAGGTTCAACTTATTGATATTTTAGCATGCATCTTATGTGCCACCAGAAGGTCTCAATGCTCCTGAAAATCACTAAACTTCATTTTGGGGGGAGACTCCGAGACCACCAGGGATTGAGGCTGGAAAGATTCTATTGACAGAAATATCAAGGTTCAACTTACTCAGGAGGGGATTGACTTAAAGGTTCAGGTTCAGAATACATCAGTTTGGTGACACTGTTTAGCTTAGGCTATGTTTTTCCATTAGTTTAACCCAACATGAATGGCTGTGGGTTTACTCAGCATTATCGATCACTCACTTCAGTTGAAACGTAATCTGTCTTGTTGCAGAAGCGAAGACGAACACATCAAAGATTCAAATGAGTAAGAATTCTAACATTAACCCCACATTTGTTTTACATTATCTCACTTGTTCCAACTAATCTGTTGGCCATTTGACCACTACCTGTCCTCCCCATTACAGAATGGACTTTCCTCACCTCAGTCCAGTCCACGGAGCACTCCATCTTCCCCACTCACTCACACACCGGGAAAATCCACCCCTGGGAAACTCACGTCTGCCCTCGGGAAGACCAACACGCCAGTTGCCAATGGCAAGCCAGGAACACCTACTTCATCACGAACACCAGGACAAATGTCAAGGACGCCGTTGTCACGACAACTTAGCAAGAAAGGAAAATAGTCGACAAATTCCAAAGTTTTGGAATTCTTTAGCAGGAACCTAGTTACGTAAAATATGTTTTAGATCTGTGGACTGTTAACCTGCAGACTTCACCATTTTCTAACTCTTCAAGTTCATTTTGCAGACTGTATATTCGTCCAGTTTATAGCATGGTTACAGTGAAATGTAAGCCAAACATGACGAGAGATGTATATTTTGTTTATATGTGTATATATTTAGTTATACTGGAGTTTTAGTTGTTTAGTTCATCCCATTGTAGTCAACATATCATGTACATTATATATCACTGCTATACCATTGAGTTCCTCAATCCACACTTTGTTCTGTTTTCTTCTCTCTTTTTTCATTTCATTTATGTTGTTTGTTTATATTCCTATGTTACAAACTAATCATAACATCAAGGTGCTTTCTCATGTAAGTAAATCACCCTTTGGCATAATGGACAGCAAGTGTCTCGTGTAGTCAGAAATGGTAGAGTTATCTCCCTTGTATTGAGTACAGGTACACCTGTGTACAACAATTGATGTCAAAAGTTAACATGATAACAGGCTTCTTTCAGGTGTATAAAAGTCAAAGCAGTGAATTATAACCATTTAACAATTATGCATTCTGTATTACATGTTTACTTCTGCATGTGTTTACACCATTTTGCCGGGGCCGTGGAGTAGCCTAGTGGTTAAAGCGTTCGCTCGTCATGCCGAAGACCCAGGTTCTATTCCCCACATGGGTACAATGTGTGAAGCCCATTTCTGGTGTCTCCTGAGGTGATATTGCTGGAATATTGCTAAAAGTGGCGTAAAACTAAACTCACTACACCATTTTACCATGGGACATTGAAATTAAATATTGAAAAGAAATGTTCAAGTTTTGTATTGTTAAGTTATAAAAATGACACACAACTTGTAGTGATATTGGCTGTTATAAATACATAAAAAGATATGAACATTTATAGTAATTGAAATCATAAACTGGATGTAAATATCACGACAATATTGCCCTGTACATAAGTTGAGGCCAACCAGCTGCAGACTGGGTCAGATTGATCTGAACTGAGCTACGAATGTTGATATTGCACACAACTATAAAAGGAGAAACCACGGCAGTCAGGGGGGAAGATGGCGGCTGGCGTGGTTTCTCATTCTTGCATCGCAAGACCACACCCCTTCACGATGTCTTGAATTCTCAAGTCATCACAGGTTCAGCTATATTTGACTCAGACTGTAGCTAATCAATCCAGTACAGTTATTTCATTGGAACCATACATACAGTTGAATTGTCGATAGATCATGAGTAGTAGATTTACGGTATGTCAATGTGTACAGGATAAATGTTTTCAAACAATTTCACAAATGAATCCACAAACAATATTTTTGACATTTTCACTTCACTTTCTATAAAGAATTGTTCATAAATGTGTAACTATCATAAGGCCAGTTTGAACATTTCTCTGTAAGGATGCACAAGAAGGAAGGTGAAGTGTAGTCAAGTGTGACTGCAGTGTTCCTGTATCAATCAGATTCTGATTAGGCGCCACGAGCAATCACTTTGTGGTTGGAGTCAGCGCTATAGAAGATGACTTATTATTATTATTTATTGATTCAGTGCATGAGGGTTGCCCCATGTAGCTGGTTCACTTTCACCAACATCCAGGGGAAGGTGCCCCATTGTATCACTGTCAGTTAGAACTTTACCCTAGCCAGTTTGGTTCACTTTGGTTTAGTCAACAACCAATCAGATTCCTTGTTACAGCCACACAGAGCCCATTTGTAATCATTCGGAGACATGGGTGTTGCCTGTTTGCAGCGCCTCATCCTGAAGTTCTTTATTCCAGGCGAGACGAAGATGTCCTGTAGTGTAACTTATATCAACCATCTGTATATCACCATGGTGATTTCCTGTCAGAATTTACCGCCTCCGCGGTGTAGTGGTTAGAGCGTCCGCCCTGAGAGCGGAAGGTCGCGGGTTTGATCCCCGACCGCGTCATACCAAAAGATATTAAAATATGATACTTGTTGGTCCCTGCCTGGCGCTCGGCATTAATGGGTACAACAAGGACTGGTCGGCTCGGAGTCAGTATAATGTGTTTGATTGGGGTATTCATGCTTCACTGCGGCATGGTATCTCAGTTGGCTAGCACTATAAAACCAGCTAAAGTCTGGGCTAGTACAAGCAGCCGCATATACACATACACACGCATGCACGTCGTCATATGAGCGAAATATTCTCAAGCACGACGTAAAACCCAATTTCACCTCGCCTCCTGTCAGAATTGGTCTTGTCACAAGCGGCAATGGACTGGCTTAGTTTCTGTGTTGATGCCCCAGACAACATGAATTGTTGCTCTTGACATCAACTTCTAACCTTGCCCGACTCAATTTTTTGCAGTCTGTTGTCAAATAGCTGGAATATTGCTGAGTGTGACGTCAAACAACAGAAAAACAGAAAGTACATTCTATGATATCAGTGTTTTAGCTGCTACAATCTGATTGGTTGTTGGTTGTCCGTCTGTTCTCATTTCGTTTGTTTCGTTCGCTCTGCTATCTGGAGCCTGGTGTTGGGTAGACTTCTGTAACACCATGGTCGCTGTCGTCGATGTACAGTCATCTGTTGACAAAACATCCCCACTGACTCTTTGTACCATGTATATTCCTCCTGGCACTGATTAAACATGCTGCTTACTTTAGTTTGGCACATATCATGTTTCAGTCAAAATGACTGGTATCCGGGAACTTTTAAAAAAACTATTTTTTAAACAGTTCCATGAGGACTGAATTATGTCTGAAATGGCCTGCATTTAAATCAGAACATAGTCCAAGTGTATGTCAGAAAAATCTGTTTTATATCTTGGCTTTATACGTCAAACTGAAGTTAAACATTTCCAGAAAGTTGGGTCCAGATACACACAGCATTCGTAGCTGCGGCATTTGTAAGCCTATGGTGAACTATAGAGTTACGACAAGTTGTGACATTAAGAATGCTTTGTGGATTGGGACCCTGGTTCCTATTTGGTCTTGTGACTTGTTTCAGTTGGTATTGAGTTGTCATTAGTCACTGAGTATACTCTACCACGCTGCATGTTTACGTTATTATATGTTGTCCCACTTGAATACATCTCACCCACCTTCGACATCTGTGATGATACTTTCCTGAGCACTGTTCTAAATCAGTATCGGAAGAACATAGTGTGTTCCCACTGTTATCAGTTCGTACTTCATCTAATCATTTATTTTATTAAGGAAGTATGCTACAGGATAGTTGCATATTTGGCATGATGTTACATGGCATTTCTTATAAAAATTAAACAACTTTGGTCTTGCATGACTTTTGCCTTGAAATTAGGGTAGTTGAGTTACCTCCCTTTGACCAGGCACTGCTGAAGAAATATCTCCAGCATTGAGCTACTGAAGAAATAACTCCAGCGTTATCCATGGCCCTTGTACATGGGACGGAAACACTGAAACATCTGTGCATGTGGATTTTCAAAATTATGAATACCTGTGTACATATTTAGAAGTAATAAATATATTTGTTTTAATTTTGTTGCATTGGCTTTAACAATGCCTTAATATCTCTTTACCTGTTTGAAACAACACGCTGAAACACTTCTCATAAGAATCACAGAAAACGGAGTCATACCTTACGGATGTTTACATTCAATACAGCAGGATGTTTCAGGTTTTTCTGAACAGAAGTACCGGGTAATTACATTTTGAAATAATGACCTTCTCCATTGTCCTGAATTGTGTTGATAATGTGAGTATGAACTCTCACGCCAGGATGATATTGACCAATACTCCCTGTGTCTGTAAGTAGTGTTAGTGTCTGAGAGGCCTTCATGCCCATACTTACTAACATGGTATAAACCATTGGTGTAGAACATGACATTGTTATAACCGATATATACCACCTACAACATGAAAAGGCCCACCAGGTTCTCTCATTTAGCTGTGATTAATCTGCCATGCTGTCATATTAACTAGGCATGCCACGATACATCTATGTGTCAATACTTTTTCTAAGATGATACAATTATCAATACATTCAAAATTGTTCGATATTTAGTTTTGAAAGTATCGGTTTCAATATGTTTATGTATCATGTACATTTTGCAATTGTATCATGGTTTTTTAGAGTTATAAATGATTATTTTTCATGCACAAAGATGGGAAATTAGAACTTTTTAATCTCTGAGAATCAAAAATGTTGATCTTTTCATGGACAATTATAAAATATGAAATATTTATGTTCAAAATGTAACTAAATTTACGCAATAATGCTCCGAAAATAGGTATCATGATACATATTGAATCGTGACATGGGTATCGTGACAAGTATCGATTCATGAAACTTATGTATCGTGGCATCCCTAATATCAACTTTAGTAATATGAAATGATTGGGGGTCCTTAATTTTGTTTTAATAATATACTATTTGTCATTAAGGAAAATAGTACTGAATATCTATCTAAAGAGAAAACATATTACCTGATCCAAAGAGCCGTCAGATACACATATCCTATTTTATTGTCCTATTTCCTGACACTTTATTCCAAAATAAATTTACAATGTCTCATTTACCATATCATTCTTGATCATGTCAGAACTGAATCAAAATAACTGTCTCAAAACATTATAATTGTTTAGTACAACCTAGCTTAAGTGTTCTATAAAGCGACTTATGTTTGATGTACAATGTCTATACTACAGACATATCAAGTATATACAACGGCTTGGGCAACTCTTTAGTGTTTAGTTGGTTTACAGATTCCTCCCAAAATAGAAAAGTGAAAATTCGTAAAAATACATTCTGAAAAACACTTTTGTTGCACTTCTGAGCTAGAGTTGTGATGATATATTGTAGTATCGATAATCATGATACTTTTTCTGACAATAAATATATCGATACTTTTTTCCGTATCGTGATATGTATCGTTGACCTTAAAATTGTGAATTTTTCACCAGAAATTGACGGTTATGTCAAAATTTAAACTGTTTCTTGTTATCAAAATACACTTTTTTGAAGAAAATAACTAAAGATAGCATATCGTGATATGCATCGTATCGAATCGTATCGTCCCATGATATCGCGATACATATTGTATCGTGAAATTTCTGTATTGTCACACCTCTATTCTGAACCCAGTGTTACATGTTCACTACAGAAGAAGTGTACATGTGACAGATTAATCTGCAAGTTGTAAAGTAACACTGCTGTTGCAACATCATAGACAAATTTGAAAAATTAAAAACATCTGAAATTTGTTTACTCTTATAAAAGAATCCAGGTTTTCTCACAGAAACATGTCTGCAAACTCACAAAAAAAAATATAGAAATCTGGTTGTATGTATATGTTGTCCAGCTTCTGTAAACAGCTTTACCTATAGTACTGTTGTGGCCATTATTACAAGCTACATGGAAATAAACTACATCACGTGATAGAGAGTTTTGTTGTCTGTTTTATTGTGTTATTATGTAAAGATATCTGCATACATTTGGGGTCCCAATTCTGTCCTTTCAGAATCAGGAGGTCACAGGTATGCCTGTCATTTAAGGCGAAAATGGTCAGGATGGCAGACTTTATTGGTGCACCCATTGTTATATATAGATGATCATGATGTCAATCACTGGATTGCTATGTCCATTTTTATTATTTACAAACTGCTGATATATAGCAGGAATATGGCTAACTGCTGTGTCTTACCACAAACAAATGTGCCCCAGGGAACACTTTTCACTCTGCAGAGTTGTCTCCCTTTAGTGTGCTAGAAATGTCCATCCAGTTTGAGATATATTATAAAGAAAGTCATTTTTGAGTTTCTTGTTTTTGGATTTAATGTAGCGATTTGTACCCACGGGAGGTTTAATTCTTTAAAATAAATAAACAAAACCAGCAATACAATGAGTTTGTCTGCTGGTCCTGAAGAATGAAGAATGCCAGAATGTCCATCGTAGCTCTGTCTCCTGACTGTCCCGAGCAATCAAGGCCAAACCCATCACTCGGCCTTCACTCCATCACCTGGCCCACCTCAGTCCACCAGGACTCACCATGTCCTGTCCCCACCCAGCCTCCCATGGCCGTGCACCCACCCTCCCACTCCGTCCACCACCATGACTCTGTCCAAGTGCCGGTCCCCCCGGTTTCGCAGACCGTCCAGTGGCTCACTCTTCCCACTATCCCGGAAGCCAGACATCCAACCCCACCCCACCCGCCCCTCCACCGGACATCATTCAACATCACTCACCACCATGAATCATACATGGAATATAAATCTAGTGCAGTTCCTGATTGCCACTGGCCATACATCGAACTGATGTACCCCTAGACCGCACGGTGCTGAGGAAGACATTGTCGGTCTCAAGTTCGACGGAAGTTCTTCCGAAATAGAATTTTGCTTTTGAAACTTGTTGCCACTCGAAACACTACACAGCCCCTGGAAATGGGAAGAGACGAATCCATGATCTTTCGTGAGATTTTGCTTGCTTTCTATCCTTTCCAACCGATAAACGTCTTTGTCCTCCACGAACCCAGCCGTAATCGTCCGTCACGTAAAACCTGTATTTATCCACCACCACCACCTTGTCGTCAAACGAAAATTCCTAACTGTTCCTTAAACCGATGTTCACCACGTAATCGGTTTCATCCTGCTTCACTCACTCAACTGATGTTCCAGCACCAGCGTTCCGTAATGCTTCTGTTTTATGTTTCAATACCTGATTTAATTTGTCTCGATATAATTAAGTGGTGACGAGAAGTTGTTCTGGCTTATCTACGCATTGGTTTTTTTGACGACTCCCAGTCTGTTGGAGTATTGTTTGATTGTTGAATTAATTCCATTTTAGTTTCTGTCCAAAACTACCGAGACCTTAGAGACGGCAATATCTATTTCCTTTCCACCACAGCATTGCCCTAACATTAGCAGAACAACCCGATTGCAAGGGCAACAGCCGGGCGCAA